AAACAAGGACTTCACAAAAGAGACAAAGCCCAAGTCAATTTTGTGAGGTAAAGTGGACAGAAGTCCTAGAACTCCTGCCATCCTGCCTCAATCTATGCAGCATACCATAACTAGTAACATGGACATAATCCCTTCAGTTTCTCTCTCCAACTTTAAAACCCTCTACCATTAACAGGCTTCCAGGAAAGCAGTCCTCCTGACACTGCCAATCAGAAAAATCTGTTTGTTTCTGTAAAAGAAACAAGAAATTGGTCATGGACTGCAAAGCCCAGGACCACAGGGGCAGCTGACCCATAAACCTATTCCTGGGAGCCAGCACTATATGGGGGGTCAGATCCGATCTGAAGACCACAAAATACTGCAGTTTTGTGTCCACTTTTTCTTTTTCTCAGGTAGGTAACATATTATCTCTAAAACCCAAGACCAGGGGGGCAAGCTTGACAGCAACCACTTCAACATCTGCCACAGCTGTTGACCTTGGAAAACATTACCTTCTTTCCTCCAAGAGAAAGCTGAGGAACACCCAGCTATGTTCCTAGAACCACTGACAAAACTGGCTCCTCAACACCTTCTGGTTTATTAGTTCCAAGCAACAGATAATCTGACTGGATTCCTAACCCAAGGAGGTATGAAAATTAGCCAACTGACTCAACTACGACAGCTCTTCAATGGTCTAGAGACCTCAAGGCTTGGGCCACAGGGATGGTCTCTGAGCTGAAATCAGGGATGTGGCAGGAGGGAGGAAAGAGGTACATGATTAGACTAGATAGCAGGCAGGAAGTTTGTCTGTCAGGACAGTAGACCACCTCAGCACCTCAAGGTCTGCAGAGTGCTCAAAAGGCCTTCAAAGGTGCTCTAGAGTGATCTGCACCATTTTGGGGTATTCCCAGCCACATATAATAGCAATCTCTCACTGTGTATAGATATTTGCCTAGTGTTTCCAATTACATTAACTTGTTTAATCCTCTTAATGTCTCTTAGAAAAACTTAGTATCTCTCTGAATGCACTAGCCCTGAAAGAATTATAAATCCTCACTTACTGTATCTTCTTTCTTATTTGGCTATTTAAGCTTAATCTGTACAACTGTTTTCAATCTATAGTCAAATTTCTAAAGCAGCCAAGTTATTTATAATATAAACCATAAAATAAGAACATGCCACCTAGTAAGCAGCATCAGCACTGCCAACTAGCAATTGCTTTCTCTATACATGATTCGTCTTGGCTAATATTTACAAAAGTTTTTCAATGGAGTGAAACTTGCTCCTTTACAGAAAATACATAAGGAACTTTAGATAACTTCAGCCCATGTTCAGTAAAGTAAAAAGGAATTTTTTTTGCCAGATCTTCTCCCGTATTTGTCAGGAAAGGAGGAAATTTTTGTTTATTACTTGTTCAATGTGCTGAAGTCTAAACTCTGAGATCTGTCACTGGACAACAGCATTCCAGAGTTACACTGCAAGAACCCTACAGTCAACAGAGGAAGGGCGGGAATTTAGCTCAGGGCACTCTGCCTGCCTCATAAGAGCAAGGTCCTGAGTTCGATGCCCAGTACCAAAAAATAAAAAATACAGGAAGGCTCTAGACTTTCCCTTTATTTTCCCCAACATTTTTTGTTGTTGTTGTTTTTAATTATAACTTTTTTTTTTCTTGCAGTTCAGGCTGGTTTTTTGTTTTGTTTTGTTTTGGTACCGGAGATTGAACTCAGGACCTTGCACTTGAGGCAAGAACAGGGCCACTGAGCTAAATCCCCAGCACTTAGGCCGGTCTTGAACTATGTATGCCAGGGCAAGCTCACAATGATCCTCCTGTCTCAGCCTCCCAAGCACTGGGATTATAGGAGTGTGCCACCACGCCCAGCTCTCCCACACTTTTTTTTTTTTTTTGAGACAGGGTCTCACTATGTAGTCGAGACTGACCTGGAACTCACTATGTAGCCCAGGCTGGTCTCGAACTCACAGCAATCCTCCTGCCTCAGCCTCCGGAATGCTGGGATTACAGGCGTGCGCCACCACACCTGGCTGTCCAACATTTTTTATTAGTACAATTCTGTGATGCATAGTAAACACAATCATTGTGGGGTGGATTGGTACCTATCCCTAGTGTATTTTGATCCTTTTTCTTCCCTTTTTCCTCCTGTCCTTCCCATCTCAGATACCATTCCCATTCTTTCAAAGAAACAACCACTTGATTCCCTGATCATTATATTGATTTTTAATCTCAATTTCATTAATTCCCACTCTGATCTTCCTCTTGGTTTCAGATTTGGAATGTTCTTATCTTTCTAGGACCTTAAGAAGTATTATTGTTCTTCGAGATTTTTTTGTTTTGTTTTAAGAGAGTTTTTCTATGTATCCAGGCTGACAACCTCACTATAAAGCCCAGGCTGGACTCAAACTCAGGCAACCCTGCTGCCTCAGCCTCCCAAGTGTTGGGATTATAAACAGACCTCACTTATGCTCTATTCTTTTTATTGTACACTTACAACCATAACCTTCTCTCTTAGCTCTGCTTGCATTGTGTCCCATAGGCTTTAGTATGTTATGCCTCCACTGTCATTTGAGTCTAAGAATTTTTTTTCTTCCTCAATTTCTTTTCTGATCCACTGATTATTCAATATCTCCATGTGATTCTGTGGCTTTCTTTTGCTGTTGATTTCTAGCTTTATTCCACTATGATCAGATAGTTTGCAGGAGATTATTTTAATTCCTTGGTACTCATTTAAACATGCTTTATAGCCTAGAAAAAGTTCTGCATGCTGTTGAGAGAATGTACATTCTGTTGTTGTTGGATCTGTTGTTGTTGTTCAGTGGTGTAATTTAACTAATATTTCTTTGTTGACTTTTTGTTTTGATGACCTAATTGTGAGAGTAGGGTATTGAACTCCCCTACTATGATTGTATTGGTTTCTGTTTCTTTTTTTTCTTTTTTTTCCCTTGATTTTTGAGGCTCTTGTTATGTAGCCCACACTGGCCTCAAACTCATGACAGTCCTCCTGCCTCAGCCTCTCAAGTATAGTACAGAGATTACATGTATGCAGCACCATGCTCAGCTCTTGTCTTTTTAATTCCAGTAGATTTTGTTTTATGAAACTGCTTATGACAACATTTTCTGCATCAATATTTACAACTGTTATCATATCCTGTGGAACTGTTCCCTTCACCAATATATATTGGCATCTTTATCTCTTTTGATCACTTTTGGCTTGTAGTCCTCTATGACTGAAAATAAGATAGTCACTCACTTGTCTCAGGACTCTGGTCCAACTGTATTGCTTCTGTCTGTGCACTTCCTGCTGGATGAGGAGTGTCTCCTGAGGCAACACAGTACATGGCTACATTGTATCTTTTAATCCACTCTCCAGTCTGAGTCTTGTGACTGGGAGATGAGACCATTGACATTGAGAATTATTACTGAATGCTGTTACTGCATTATGTTTCCACTGCCTGTATTTGTTTCCTTTAGTTTAACTACCCTCCCAGTTAGAGTGCACTTTCCTTTGGGCTCTTTAGTGCTGGTGGCCTCCCAGTCTTTGTATAAGATTCCCTTAAGTATTTTCTTGAATCCTGGTTTAGTGGTCATGAATTATTTTAGCGTTCCTTTGTTGTGGAAAGTCTTCTCCATCAATTTTGAGGGCCAATTTGCAGAACATAAAAGAGTAGGTTGACAATTATTTTCTTTTAGGGCTTGAAAAACTTCACTCCAGTTTCTCCCAGCCTTTATGATTTGTGCTAAGAAATCTGCCATCATTCTCAGGGGATTTTTCCCTGTCAATTTATATCTACCCCCGCCCCGCTGAAAAACACATATATGTTGAGACTTTCCTCCTTTCTTTACACACACACACACACACACACACACACACACTTTCTTTTTCTTTTTTTGGTACCGGGGATTGAACTCAGGACCTTGCACTTGTGAGGCAGATGGCAGAACCACTGAGCTAAATCCCCGGCCCCTCACTTTCATTCCTAAAAAAAAGGAACAGTAACTATCACGCTTCCCTCACAAGTCTGCATAAAAGTCCAACAAGGGTAGTAAGTGTGAAAGTGATTCTGAAAATTCTAAACATATAAATACCATATAGCAGTTATACACATGGACCAAATTTGGCTTGCAGATTTTTTTTTTTTTTTTTTTTTGTACCGGAGATTGAACTCGGATCCTTGTGCTTGCAAGGCAGGCCACAGAACCGCTGAGCTAAATCCCCAGCACGGCTTGCAGATTTTTTAAAAAAACAATATATATAAACTGGGCATGGTAGCACTCGAAGGCTTAAGCAGGAGGATCTCCATTAGTTCAAGACCAATGTGGGACTTCATAGTGAGTTTAAGGCCAGCCTGAACAGTGAGACACTACCTCAAGAAACAAAAAGACAAAAAATAAAAATAAACCAAGCATGGTAGCACACACCTATAATCCCAGCACTTGGCAGGCTGAGGAAGGAATGCCATGAATTTGAGGCCAGCCTGGGCTACATAGTGAGTTCACAGCCAGCCTGAACTACATAGCAAGACCTTGCCTCAAAAATTAATTAATTAATTAAGTAATTAAAATAAAACTATGTATTATTTATTCATTCATGTATACATCTATGGTTGCTTTTAAATTATAAAGGAGAGCTGAGTAGATATGCAGTTGCATTACATCCTGCAAAATCTAAAATATTCACTATATGTGCTTTATAGGAAAAGTTTGTCTAAGCCAAGAGTGATGGTACATGCCTATAATCCAGGCTACTCAGGAGGCTGAGGCAGGAGGACTACAGGTTTGAGGCCAGTCTGGGCAATTTGACAAGACCTTCTCTTAAAATAAAAAGTAAGAAAGGGCACTGGATATAGCTTAGTGCTCCTGGACTCAATCCCCAGTGGTTAAAAAAAAAAAAAAAAAAAAAAAAGAGGAAGAAGGGGAGAGAGAGAAAAAAACAAGTCTATCCCTGTAATAAATCAAATAAATATATTTTGATTGGGATAAGTAACCATACCTAGATGTAAAGACTCACCTGTTATATTGTTTAAAACCTCCTTTAGATGACTGAAACTATGCAGAAGAGGGTCCCGTTCTTCATCCTATAGAAAATATAGGTTAAAAAAATTAAAATGTTAAAAAATAAATAAATAAAAATGTTAGTGGGCCAAAAGAAGAAAAAGAAAACAAAGGGTAGCATGAATTGATAAAGAAAATGTGGTATATATACACAATGGAGTGCTACTCTGCCATAAAAAGGATAAACTTGAATCATTTGTTCTAAAATGGATACAGTCTGAGTGAGTTCAAGACTGACCTGCAATATCCAGAGAGATCCTGTCTCAAAAAATAAAAATAAAACAAAAAAATTGCTAGAATAATATCATCTTTAGGGTCCCATAGGGGGGACTAAACTACATTTGATGCTAGTTGGAATAAAACAGAAGTGTCCTTGATACCAAGAATGACTCTTATTTCCTATTAGTCATTCTCATTATTATTAGGAATTTGACTACTGTTTTTAACCAAGGACCAGATTCCCTACAAAAATTCAGTGACCAAGCTATCTGCCCACTCCCCACTTACCAATGGTGTATGGGTGCTCCATCGGGCATTTCGTTTGATAGCCCCAACCACAATGTTAATCTCCCCTTGAATGATGTAAATATTCTTATCCACCATCCTGACAAACCTACCAAGATAGATAAAAGTCTGGTTAATATTTGGTTACCCAGAGCACACCCATGCTTAAATCAGCACACAATAAGGGTAGAAATGTGACTTAACTTCAAAATCAAAATTCTCCACCTGTAATAATAAAATAGATGAATGGATTCCATTTTACATTATGATTCTAACTAACTGACTCTCCTAGAGGTCTCTGGAAGTTCAGTATAATTCAATGCACAACTAAAAAATTATCAATCCAGACAATTTCTGAAAGGTACCTACCACATTACTCTAGCAAGCATGTCAGATTTTTCTCTTTTTTT